AATGGATCAGGCCGCAGCCGCAGCGGCGCAAGCGCAAGCGCAATATCGAGCACATGATCAAAGCGTAGCGCAACAGTTACAGAGACAATTACAGCCACAAATGCTGCAAAATCAGGTACAATTTGCGTTTAGGGGTTATGCCTACCGTAGGTTTTTACGCTTCAGTGAAGAATTGTATTCAGGCAGCATTACAAATGCGAAATCAGCAGATGACTGTGCAGGAGTATCACAATTTGTTAAGACTAACTGCTCAGCCAGCTGGTTTGCCGCAGCGACGACAAACTATAGGAGGAACTACTATGAACCCACAGGTTAGAGCTGCTTAATGCTTTCCTTATTGAAATATGCATGAAGTTAGATATTCGTTGTATATTACAATTGCCGTAAATTTGAAGTCATTCCCTTTAAAGCAAAACTGACAGGGCCAGATTGTTTGGCATGGCACTTACCGTATACTTACCGTAATCCCACAGCAAGACTGTTTGTATATTAGCTTTATGAATATAAACTTACTGATAGCTTATTTACATTATTCCAGATGGCCTCAAGCGTTCCACGCCTTCAACGTCCAGCTGTCACAATGGCTCCGCCACAGTCATCGCTGCAATTCTCCCATCAAATCGCCCCGCCTCTTTCCTCAATCGCTCCGCCTCTTTCCTTGGCCGCTCCCATTCCTCTGCCTCAACCGAACCTTCTCGCGCAACAGTTGATGACAAATGCTATGCGAGCACCCGCGCCTAGCATGGGCCCGCCCCCAAATATGAGTATGGCCTCGGTCAACCAATCACAGCCGGCCACATCTTCAATATCAGCCCCGCCCACTTCCGCTACCGTATCTTCCGGTGGTATGGATGACGCTGAGTTTCTAGCTTTTCTTGAGAATGTCCGTCAAATTGAGGCGCATCTAACGCGTACGTTGGCTGAGAGCATACAACGCTCCACGGCCACACAGCAACAAAGTCAATAGGGAGGCGTGGCTGTCCCTATCTGGAATGCGCACCAAGCATGTGCGCCGACCAATCCGATAATTGCTGTCGACGCTTTGATCTCCGCTGTGATCTCAGCCAAACGGTTATGTATCTTTTTGGTTTGCTTTTTTTGTTGTATTGTTTTCTTGTATTTGAAGTTCTCCTCGGACGAGTTTTTCGTTTTGTTCCGCAACGTGATCCTATACACCACCCATATCCAACCGCATACCCGCTCCGTCCCTTCATTTTTGACCTCTGCGAGTGACTTTCCGGTTAACAAGTGATTTTTCTTTTTCGTGAACCCATGTTTTTTTAAAGGAATCAACTTTGTATATATGATTTTTATGATAATGTTTCTTTGTTTCTAATATAATTAAAGCTATAAAGGGTTATAAAAAAATAAATCTGGGCAACTATCATTTTTAGGGTCCCTAGATCCTAAACTGTTTTTGTTCGTATGTTTGCCATTAACCCTTCTTCAGCCCTGCTAATCAATCACTGAAAGCGCATCAATCTCTAATTACTTTCTGCTAATTATGTAGGCCTGCACACGTGCCGCAACCATCACCTTAAATGCTAGTCGCACTTGTAGACAGCACATCTAATATTTTTGCAAGTAGTTTTTTCTAATCTCTTTGGAGATTAACAAGTTTTTAACAATTTTTAAACCAAAGTTTATAGCAGCACAATTTGAAATACGCAAATCTGCAGAGATCCTCTCCTTGGACCTTGAGTTCTTTTTGAAGCTATGTGTCTGCGCATAGGAAGTGGGTGTAAGGTTACTACCATCAAAGCGGAGCTGTTATAAAGGGAAACTGTCAAAGTTAGGTAATATTAGTACTATATAGGGAAGACACATGCGCAATAACATACTATAGACTTTTTGCTATACTATTTCACATAGAAAGACCAAAGAAACTAGAATCAAGACTACTTTTTAAAATGAGAGATTTCCTAAATTTTAGAAATGTATTCAAACATCAAACATCTGGTCACCATTATATATTCTCCCTACTGTCTACCATCTGCTGCGAATCAGTGAAATCCAAATTGGGAAATGGATATCCAAACAATTTGTAATCATAATAGAAAAGGCGAACGATCAATTCCATTAAGTAAGGACTGCTTCTAAGACGTTGTTCAAGAAATAATCTTGATGATGAGGTCACTGTGCTATGGATAGTTCGGCCGGATTTCAACGAGTCAGCGATGTAGCTGATTGAGGAGTCTGACACCTGGAAAATATATTTTGGGATAAATAAATCCTACAAAAAATGGTTCCTAAAATTCTAATGTAGGTCCAAACCATGCAAACTAACGTTCTGTGCTCTTAGCAGTCGAGATAAATCTTCCATTAAAGTTCCAGCTGGATCGCTTGAATATCTTATAAATTCATAGTTCTTGTAGTATTGCTGCATGTTACACCGCCTAAAAGTAAAAGGTTCTATCCTCGAAATTATTTGGTCTTAGAGCTTTAGAAGCCATAGGCAATACCAATTTTGCGGAAATACATGGATATCCTCCATTGTAAGATGTGGCTTCTGCAGATGCCTTCTCTCCGCAGAAGCATACTCTTCAGCTCTGAAATGAGCATATCATAATATATTTGGATAGAAGACATCTGGTTCAAATTGTGAATCGAGTACCGATTCTCATTTCCTTACCTTTGATACTCAGCTTCAAGGAAGCACGTCATATTATTCCCGCAACCAAAACATGGATCTCCAACTCTAAAATCTTCATGATCATGTTGGAATCAAGCTGTCTGCTCAAGCAAAATTCTTTGAGAATTGCTATTAACATTACCTGCTTGACTATAATATAAATTCGACAAATAATAGCTTGTCGATTTGAAGGTTTGCAAAATTCAAAATTCAATTCCACTATTTTTTAGATTTAGAAAAAAGTTGATTTATGGCTATTTTGTAAACCTCAGATCTTCATCGTTTCTCCACATCTCTAT